TCAACCTCTGGAGGAAGAAAAGCGAATAACCCTGAAGCAGGCTCGAATCAAGGACTTCTCCGCTCTGAGTCAGACTTTCTACCGACTGAGCAACCCAGTCTATCAGCATTACAGACAGCGTCACAAAGACAAATTAAAGAAAGCTTTCACCTTACACACATGCTTTGGTACTGGGCCGCTTTAAACTATGAACAAATTTTCATACATCTTGTAATTACATCATATCATCAGAATTTAAGTATCAGTGTGTATAGAGTGGAGAAGTGAACCACCAACAATTTTCTCTGTGCTACAGACTAAACTGACACGCAGGAAGTACATAAAACTACGGAAGTAATTTTTTACTGAACCTTCAAATTACGACTTGCACTTATCGAGCCCATATCAAGCTTCAGAGAAAGAAAAACAAGAAAAATGAAACTTAATTACACAGCTCCAAATCCTTTTGCCCAAGTTCAACTTCCACTTCAACCTGTTCGCTCGTTTCTTCACAAATCCAGGGTTCGTAGGAAGGTTTGGTGACGATCTCGTTCAGGTACTGGAATGCTAAAGGCCTGCACAGGAAAACAAAAATATTAGTTCTATAAATCAGGCGAGTGCTCCAAATATTAAACAGTCTAAACAAATTAGATTTAAATAATAACTCTTTCAGCGCAAACCACATGCTATTTAAATTTCTGTTACTGATTTGACAAAACATCAATAAAAGGCTAGAAATATACAACAGTGGTAGGTCAGATGCGTAAAAACTGCCATAAGATTGCAAAGTCGATAATAACAATATGGCAGCACGAGTCGAACGGTATCCAAGAGTAAATGCCATATCAGGACCTATCACTGGCTCGGCGTGAGTAATCGGTAAACAGTAAACATGAGCAGGCATCGACGAAGCGACTCCGGAAACGTTTGGTATCCCTGACAAACTGCTATTGAGAGTGAGATGCATGTAAAACTTTCTAAGATATAAACAGTAAACAGGATCACCATAAAATACAGCACAAAAACGACAAATTTATGCACAATAAAAGAGGTCTGTTGGGTAACATGCCAATGCCGATGTTTCGGTCTGTAGTCGCTCTCTTCAAAGAAAAGTCAATCAGGTCCAAATGAATGAGAAGCTATTCTTAACATCAACTGTTAACTATCAAATCCGTTTACCGTCAGGAGAGCCTAAAAGACACGGGCAGAAACATCGACGAACATGTTTACATGTTAGAAAACATTTATTTGCTTAAACAGCTACCTTTCACTGCGTTCCTATTATCATCACCTTGAGTCGCAT